TTTTTTTATTTAAATTCACTTTTAATTTTCAAAAATAAAGGGGCATTGTTAAACTTTAAGGTGTAAAGTAGGTATGTATATTCATCCCAATTTGTACCGAAACCGATACCGAACCATCCCGAACCATACCGAACCGATATGTCGGGATCGGGATCGGTACGGTGTAAAATCCCATACCGAACCGAAATATTTGGTACGGTATCGGTACGGGCTAAATACCGTACCATACCGTACCATGCTCACCCCTACAAATTAATACTCAAACATGAATACATGATTGGTTCGGCATGCATGTGATGTTTGGGAGAGAATGTTTTGCACAAAATGTTTAAGACAAAAATTTAGAAAGACCATAATCTTGGCTATAGAAAAATGTTGACAGACTGGAGCGGAGGTATCAAACTACACTAACCCTAATTTCAATGTACTCTTATTCTACTCTGAGATCACGTCTGCATGTAGTTGTACTCTTCTCAACCAATCAAGTTTAAAGAATGAGTTAAATTGAGAAAAAATATCTTGTAATTGGCTTGTCCTCTATTGTGGACAACAAGTTTATTATACTCTTTCCAGGTATTTTGGGTAATTCTCCACTTGTTTACCAAATTAGGTAAATGGACAATTAATCTCCAGCATTCCAAAAGGGAAAAGTGGACTACTAAATTTGAACAGAGAGTAATATCAACATTCTCTCTTTTATTAGTTGCAGTAATAACAATGATAGTGCATCTGTATCACTTTACAAGTGTGTAGATTGTATTCTATACTAATCGCCCGCTTTAAGTGTTATTTTGTTATTAAACTGTAGACCTTTTTATCCTTAAAGTTATGTCTTCTAAATTAGATAGTGAACTCTTAGGAAAATTAAAAAATGTGACAAAGGAATATATGGCCATTTGGGAATTTACACTCGTTTATCCTACCTGTGTTTCTTTGTTGTTCCAACATATTTGACATGTTACAATATACGCCACTCCTTCCACCCAGATTTAATTTTCCTCTTGTCCCAAATTTAAGGAATGTGGTGAATTGACAAAAGAAAACCCTTTAATTGGCTTATCCTTCACGGCTTCACTTTTTGCAACATGCTTATATTGCTCAATATACTCATTAAGGTATTATGGAATTGTGGATTGTGATCTTTTAGTGTTGTTTTTCCCCACCGTTTTCTTCAAACAAGTCAAATTTATATCTTTTTTTGTTGGCTCAAATAAATTTGTTGGATCAATGGTCCATTTTTTAAAAAAACTATTTGTTTTTAGTGATTTTGAGTGCTTGAAATTTGCAGACACATAATACTAGTTATAAGTTTCATTTTTCTATAGCATAGCAAATGCCAATGTATTTTTTGAGTAAAAAACTGAAACAAAGCTGCATCATATAGTTCTCAGTCCTATATCAAAGCGAGACTCTGATAATAAGTATTCCGTGTATTTGCTAGAATAATTTGCATGAACATGCATTCGTTGAATCATTGGTGCACACATATAAGCACATATATTTATGCTTCGCTTGGGATTGTAGGGAGTGCCCCCATGTATCCGTTTGCATCACAAGTGATAGAAGTGAAAGTGAAGCTTCAGGAAAACTTTGACGACGAATCTGAATCTGAGGATGAGGACGACTGAATAGCTTATATTTGTATATCAGGTTGTTGGGGTAAGTACATTTTCCACTATACAATACAATCACAAACTTGTATAATGCTTGAAATGTCTACTGTGCAGTATAGTTTTACATCTATCTGTAGCATGAATGATATGAACACTGACCCTAAACCCACACCAAAAGCTAGCTCAAGGGTAGGTTTATCTCATGTTTTTTATATTAGAAAGGAATCCCCAGCCAATGCCATACATTCTGACCTGAAAAAACAAGAGAAATACTCCCTCCGTCTGAATTTAGTTGTCCACTTTTATATATGTATATATATATATTTAAATCTTATTATAAGGAATGAAAATAGATAGGCCACTAAATAAGTAATAAAATAAAATAAATAAAAGAACAAAAAGTTTATGCTCGAAGGCGAATGTCAAATAAGCCCTCTAAATGAGTATGTCGCTCATGAGCATCTCAACAATGCTCATACCTTATTGTCAAGGAACCAACTCAACCAAAAGCTCAAGCTTGTGGTTGTGGCCCAAGAAATGGTTCTTATATTCTAACACGCCCCCTCACGTGCAGGCGTAGTTTTTTTTCGAGCCTTGCACGTGAAACCTTAATTTTTTTAAAACTGGGTGTCGCTGAGTTTTGAACTTGTGACCTCTTAGTCAACAAGGCTCCGATACCATGTCAAGGAACCAACTCAACCAAAAGCTCAAGCTTGTGGTTGTGGCCCAGGAAATGGTTCTTATATTCTAACACTTATATTTAGGATATTTAGACAATTCTTCTGAATTTCTTTTCTTATGGTTCTTATAACACCAGTTTTGGATGTCATATTTTATCACGAGGGCTAAGATGCTCTGTTGAGCCCCAAAGTGGGTCCTCCTCCCCCCTCCACCCCCCTGCATCACTTACAAATTAGCGATTCTAAGGGGTTGGGAGCTAGGCGGGATGTCGGGGGGGGGGGGGGTAGGGACCTACATCAGGCCCTACGGAGCACCAAATTATCCTCAAATGACCATAATATGACACCCAAAGTGGGTGTCAAAAGAACCTACCCCTGAGAAGTGGACAACTTATTCCCGACAAAAAAAAGTGGACAACTAAATCGGAACGGAAAGAGCATAGGAGAACAAAAAATACTCACTCTTTCTTATTGTGCAGGCTAACAAGCAAGCTTTGCGAGGCTGGGGAAAAATATGAAACTGGCAATGAAGGACAAGAAATGGCATACTAGAGATTGAGATTGAGTTCAGCACAGTGGATTCATGCTCCTTTACGCCTTAAACAAAATACAATGCACTAAGAAATGATGTTTGGATAATAAACCTTTGTATATAATTGAATCTGACAATCAAGACTTGTTCTGTTTAATGTTTGATTCTTAATGTTATCAAAATAATCTATATTCCTTACACTTCCATAACTTGGCACTTTTCCCAAATCCATTCCAACAAAGCCCCCAAACACTTGTGTGAGAGTGTCCCACAAATCATGTCATCCACAGACACTGGCAGAAAATGGTCTTTTCTCACAATGTTCTTTGCAACCAATTCCATATGTGTCATGGTTTGCTTTCTTGAAAGTTCTGTCAAATACTTGTATCAAAATAAAGTACTTTGTACTTCTCTTCATTCCAAAATAATGTTTGTTTCTTTTTGGGCACGGATTATGTGGCCGCTGTGATTTTCTATCTATCATATCTAACATTTTTTTAAGTTACGAGTCCGGCAAAATAAACATTTGATTTGGAATGGAGGGATTTTTTTTTGGTGATTCGACTTGACAAACTTTCAAAGATAATAAAAGAATATTTTCGGTATGGGTAATCAAAGAATATGGTTGAAATTTATTTAAAAGTGAAGCAAAAATATACTCGAAAAAAGAACAAGAAAACATACAGCAATTTTAATCTTTTCTTTAAGGATCTGAATTTGTTTTTGGCAAGCTACAAAAAATTGAAAAAAAATGTTAGGGAGTACTTATGTAGCGCCGGGAGTATGTGTGCTTTAGTCTAATCATGGCACCAGTTGGCAACTTTTGGGCCTTTTACCTTTTAGAACGTGTGTTACTCATTATGGGTGGACACGGTTCCGGGCCGGTTCCTGTTCCGGAACCGCCACTCCTAGGTACCGGTACCGTGACCGGACCGGGCGGTACCGGTTCCGGTACCCGGACCGGCGGTTCTGGTACCGGACCGACCGGTTGTTACCCCCAATTTTTTTTTTTTGCTTTTTTTTAGAATTTTTAAAGTGTAAAATTGTAAATTTGCAATTGTTAAAGGAAAGATTGAAATAAAAATCTAAAAATGTACTCCGTAGTTGTTATTTAAATAATGTAAAATGAGTAATACACAAACTGAAGAACAACTACATTTAATATCCGGATGGTTCAAAAAAAGCGACGAGGTAAAGAACCGTAAAGAAACCCTCGAAGGAGCTTATATACCGCTCACCTAAAAAAACTAATTACATATTTAAATTAACATAAAAAAAGTTTATAACTTATTCCTCAGAACTCAGACTTCCATCTGTGGTTGCATTCATGTAATGCTCTGAATTGAATTCGTACCCTGACTCTTGAGCTCGACGTCTTGCCAAGAGCCAATCTTGGTTGCAAACAAGTGTTTCAAGAGATTCAGCGTTAAGACAAATTTGAAAGTCGGTTAGAATGTTGCTGCCATCACTGAATTCTCGTTCCACAGCTACGGTTGATACCGGGACGGACAACACACTTGTCTTGCTAGCTTTCCAAGACATGGGAACATGTGTTCGTTCCGCTTCCACCATCTGAGGACGTCAAACTCCACGCCGTCCTCGTCGTAATCGCATGGCACCCCTTGGTACATAGCAAGTTCGTTGTGCGAGCTTACTGTTGTACCACTTGAACTCGTCGAAGGTTGAGCACGCTTCTCTTTCTTTGCAAGAAGCCCACCGACTATTCCTTTAAAACCTTTTTTTGATTTGGGGGGCGGAGGAGGTGTTGTTTCTTCTGGTACAGTACCGTATAGCCCTTGATATTCCTTAAACAAATCCTCAAAAAGAGTTATAGCATTATCTCTTTCATTTTTCCATTCTATTAAATGGCTGTAGTAATAACTATTTTCATCTAAAAAACAAGTGTAGTAATAGTCAATTAGAATTTTAAAATTTTCAATCTTAAAGCGTGGATCACAAATAATACCTATTTTATAAATATCGGGAATGTACAAATAATAAGCACACCATTTATCTCTCATAGGAGAGACATAATGGTACAAATTTGGATCAATCAAACTCTCACAAAAACATGTTGCGATTGTAACGCACTCTTTAAAAAATGTATTTGTAGTTGGTTGGTAAACATGCGAAAAAGTAAGAGTTGCGTTATTAAAAACTTCTAATACGACATTCAATTTTCAACAATAACAAATTCAATAGGTGAAATGATTAAACGAAGTTCATCACTAAACAATTCAGCAAGTTCCTCTTTATAGCTTAGAATCTGTGCTATCAACTTGTAAGTACTATTCCGTCTAATGTGGATATCTTTGGCAAATGTTATTTCTCTTCTACCCTTAGACTTACAGAATATCTTCCAAGACCTCGAAATAAGGCGAGCCCTCCAAATTTTTCTAATTCCTTCTTTAATATTCGTCAACCCCCCATAGCTTTGAGTCCTTGTTGAACACATAAATTTAAAACATGACAGGCACACCGTTGATGCAAAAATCTACCTATAGTCGTAGTAGAGGGGCAAATTTCTCTAAGTCTAGGAATAACATCAATATTATTAGTAGCATTATCAAAACCAAATGCAAAAACTTTATCATCTAAGTTGTATTCCCGCAGAATACTCTGAAGCAATAGAAAAATACTTTCAGTAGTATGAGAATCATTGAAATCACGAAATGCAAGAACACGTTTATGCATAATCCAATCACTATCTATCCAATGACAAGCAATACCCATATAAGACAAATTATGATAAGTTTCACTCCAAATATCAGAACAAATAGCAACACGAGAATTAAAATTGAGAAAAACATTTGCTAAATTTATTTTTTCAGTTTTATACTGGCGAATAATTTCTCGTTTAATTGTTTTTCTTGAAAAACCTCGTGCTTGAGGGTTTAATGCTTGTTGACAATAATCAATAAATCCAAGTTTTTCAGAAAACATGTATGGCAAGTTTTCTTCACAAATCATTTTGGCCATTTTTTGCTTATTTTGCTCGTCGCTATAAGCAAAAAGGCCGCCCTTACCTCTGTTAGCAAACCGAGAAATTTGGATTTGCACTTCTTGTCGTCCCTTCTTTTTCTCCGCGTATTTGGCGTACTCCACGGGATGCCTCGACCTTAGGTGTTTTTCCGGACCGCCATAACCGCCGGAAACTCCCATTTTAATGACGGTCCCACAATGTTTACAAGTTCCATAAACTATGCCATCTTTTGTTTCTTTTTAAAAATGATAAACAAATAAATCTGATTTTAATTTTTTTTTATCTTTGTCCGGACTTCGAGAGGTCTCGGGCTCACCTGCCTCCACGTCGACGTCGTTGCTGTGCGGTGTAGGCTCCTCGTCCCCGTCTAGATTATCCAGTCTTGCTTCATCAACATCTTCGAATAGACTATCAAGAGTGGGGAGATTCGCGTCCCCTCTACCAGAATAAACCTGGTCGAATTCTTCATCCGTCATACCGTCCCCGATGAATTGATCGGGGATAGTAGGAAAGGAAGAGACGGGGTGTCTTCCTCGAGAACCACGTGAGGTCGAACCGTCGGAGGTGGCTTTAGCTTTGCCTTTCTTCAAACTTCGGTTCACGGCGCCCATATCCACGGACCTTCTACTAGATTCTCTCGACATTTTAATATATATATTGTTTTGATATTTAAAAAAATAATATATTAAATTTGGAAAATTTAAAAAAATTTCAAAATTTTATATATTAAAATTTCGAAAATTTCAAAAAGTAAAGAATATATTTCGAAAATTTAAACTAATTTCGAAATTTTATATATTAAAATATAATATATTTAAAAAAGAATATATAAAAGAGATAATAAGATTGAGAGATTGAGATTTGAGAGATTGATAGATTAAGAGATGGATTGAGTGATTTTTTTTTGAAATGGAGGTATTTATAGAATGGTTCATCCCCTCCCCCCCAATTCCTCAAACGGCTCTTTAGCCGTTGAGGCACCCCCCCACTGACTTGTCTATGTTTTTTTGGCAGGTATGGCAGCCCTTGGCACTAGTTGGTTGGCACTAGTTGGCAGGTGTCCGTCGGAGGAAGCAAAAGAAAAAAAACTTATACCGGTACCGGAACCGGACCATTACCTCTGGTGCCGGTACCGAAAATTGGGTACCGGAACCGGTACTGAAGTGGGCGGTACCGGAACCGGTTCTCGGAACCGGTGACACGTGAGCGACGGCGGTGACGGTGGCGGGTACCGGCGGTACCGTTGCCGGTCACGGTACCGTACCGGTACCGTGTCCACCCCTATTACTCATGAGAAGGATGGACAAATTTCGAGTTTGGAACCGGAGCCGAAACCGGAGCGTGTCTATCTCCTTCGGACTTCGTAACATATGGTCTTCTAATTTTTATAGTGAACCTTATGTAATTTTCTTACAATGATAAAAATAATTCTATAGAAATACTTTTAACCAATTAGGAAAAGGGGTGGGCAAACGGGCAAGGTAATGTTCTCTTCAACTTATTTTATTACTTATTACTTTCTCTTATTCGAATTAGTTCAGTTTAAATTAGATTAGACCATATCATATCAGCTCAGAAATAACTTTAAATATAACTACATTCAGATAAGATCAGAACTTATTACGGAGTACAGTCAAATCAGAAGCATTCAAGTCAGGTGAAGAGAACATGACCCAAATGTGTGAAAATGAGTATTGTATTTTATTTGTATACATACATTTTCCAATGTGTGGAAAATGAGTATCGTATTTCTTGCTAAAAAACATTTGGCGACTAGATAGCTAACATAAAAAATGTGTAAAATGAACATTCTATTACTTGAAATGAATACGATTGTACAATATACTCCCTACCGATTCGGTGTCTTGATTTGTCATCATGATTTTGACGATTTGAAGTTTGTGATTAATCAAAACGTGTCAATCGTGATCCTAAAATCAATTTTTCTTTAATAGATTGAACATAATTTAGCTCAAAACTCATGGTTTAAGTTGAACATTGGACAATATATTATGACCTCTGTACTCCCTTTGTCTTAAAACGTTCTTTTTCAGTTATTATTTACACGGTCAAGCTTTAATCACTTTATTTACCTATTTTCATTAGTTATTTGATAAAATAATATAGTCTTGTCACCTCTTATTATGTAGAACTTTTGATGTAGTTTTAAAAATATAAATTTTATTTTTAATTTACACCTACAATCAAATAAATTATATTGAAAATAAAATCGATCACACCTCATAAACAAAAACGAGAAGAACGTTTTAGGATGAAAGAAGTAAAATTTTAGAAAGCTCAATAAAGAGAAACATTAAAATATACTCGTATGAGTTAATTGAAAGGGCAAGGGCATGTACAGATTAACTTTTTAATATAATTACTACTCCCTCCGCCCCAATCTAATTACAAATTAGGGTTTACGAGTAGAAATATCAAACTTTTTGAAAATATTTTATTTACAAATTGGTATATCGATAAAAAATAAAAATTACATATTAAAAAACTACATCAAAAATTCTACAAAATAACAGGTGACAAAAATATTTTATTTTATCAAATACTTAATAAAATCACATAAACAAACAAAAATTATCAAAATGAGAAAAAAATATATAATCAAATTAGGAATTGAGGGAGTACTATTTTTTATTTAAAAAAAGTCAACCTTCAGCAATTATTATGTTTGATATTTGGTCTTAAGTTTTTAAATAGTCCACTTTTACCACCTGCCGAAAGTAAGTAAAAAAGCAACATTTCTTGTGGATTATGTAACATAGGAATAACTACTATCATTCCAAAAAATTTATATGCTTGACATTTTACAAAATTTAAAAAATATTGAAAAATAAAAAGATTAATGATTAAAATTTGTTTAAGAGAAAATTCTGGTGAATCACATGTTAATCACTAAAAAAATAAAGTGAATTATTTTTTTGAACATTGAAAAAGAAAACGTGAATAAATCTTATTTAATTAAAGGCAAAGCTTTCTAAACACTCTTACTTATGTAGAAAAGTATTTACCTAATTTTGACTTTTTATAGTTAAAGATAAACTTTGACTATTAATTAAATAAAACTTTTTTTAAATATTGATAAAAAATAATTTTATTGGATTCAGCTTGTAAAATATTTTCAGAATGCTTAATATTTTTATATCTAATTAATACACCATGTAATTTTTTATTTTATTATAGGCCAAATAACAATCCTTGTTGACTATAAAAAATGGATTCCACATGAAAAAACAAAAAAAAAACTTATTTTTTTGTATAGAACTAAACACTCCATTAAATAGTTAAATATTATTTTGGTTACAATTAGTTAGTTAATTAATTAATTAAACAAATGGATTCCACAGGTGGTGGGGACAACGTGGCATAGTTCTGTTTCGTCTACAGTTAAAGGGGAAGAGCCTATGCCTCGCCACTCTCTCCTCCGTTTTCTCTTTCACTCTCTTCTCCTCCTCCTCCCCGTTGTCCGATACCTGATCTGCGATCATCTCCCTCCCATTCCCACGCCATTTTCTGCTCAATTCTGAACCGATCTGCTCGATTCTGATGATTCGCCGCCTCTCGAATCCCCCGCATCGATTCTCCTCTGTAAGGCTTTCTTCTTCCTTTTTTTCACATTTCTTCTTCGGAATTTGTCATTTTGGATTTTGGATTTTTTGTTTTTCGTTCTGGCACGTGAAATCGAGACGGATGAATGTTGTCTGCATCTGTCTACCTCGATCGGATTGATTGCATGTCCATGTGTATGTTGATTGTGTTTGAATCTGGATTCATTTGTCATGTGAAATGCACGGGATTCTGATCGGTAATTTGTCTCTGCATTCTATGATTGCGATTCGGGAAATGAAGCTGTGCCGCGCGACTTGAGTGCTTCTTGTTTCAAGCTGGATTTGAGAGCTGCCCTGTCTTTTTCTTTCTAAAGAGCATCACAAGGCTCTCAGCTAGCCGTTTGAATGCTCTTTGTTCTGCCTCTTTTATCATTAGTGTTTTACACACTCTTAGATTTACATTGCCAATGTACCTAAGACAGTCATTATTAGCCTTGTTTTAGCTTTCAGTAAATAGTGGTCGAATTTAAAATCACATCTTACTTCAAAGAATTTTTGGATAGAAAATGCTGCAACATTTTAGGGACTAACAGAATTACAGAAAGAGCATCTCTGTTTTTCTGTACAAGGGTAAGGTTGTGTAGATCTTGACCCCTCATGTAATCATGCCTCCACGAAGTTAGAATAGTGCTCGATTTTGTTGATTTTTCTTTATCTTTATATAGTCGTACATTTTAATACACTGGGACTTCCATTCAAAAAACTAATACAAGTTACTCAGGTTTTGACATTCCATCTAGATTCCCTAGAATTAAATAGTAAAAAAAAGATATTCGTACAATGGTCCATTGCCAATGAAGGTAAAAGAGTCATTTTTTTTCTTTGGGTAAATAAGGAACTAAAGCAAAATGACATACTCCGTATTACTTTTCCATTGCCTCCTACTTTCTATGAAGTTTTGGGTAGTCAATGCACCAAGGGCCTGACGGGAGTTGGCATTTTTTAAACTTGATATCCTGGTTTGCTTGTTATTGTAGAACACAAATCTCAAAAAAAAAATACTCGGAGTATTTTTTTCAAATAAGAAAAATGTCTAGATCTCAAATTAAGCAGTGCACCTTGCAAAAAGAATGTTAAATGGCCTGCTATTTGGGCACCCTTGCGAGCAGCCTTCTTAGAGTCCAAGCATTGTGGATGCTTTAATTTGCATGGTTTAATCCCCTTTCATATGTTTTTGTGTTGGATTCTTGTAGCTTTATCCAATTATATTCTCCCCTTTATTCATCTCTGAGTTTCATTTTTAAGTTCTGATTTAGATATTTATCTTTCATCACTCTTTTTATGTTCTTTCAGCCTTTTCATTGGTAATAGTACTAAAAGCAAGTGAGGAAGTGAAACATTGTCATGGTTGTTTCATCGAGAAATTTGGATTCAGCTTTCGAAAGTGCTGGACAGAAGACGTATCCTTTTCAGATCATTTTGAATTATAATCATCTATTATCTTCTCCATGTTCTTTGTTACATGCATATTTTGTCGCACAACATGGGTGTGTTGTTCATGTATTTTAAAGGCACACACAAAACTACTCCCGTCATCCCTAAAAGAAGATTCTAGTGACTCACGTTGTTTTGAGTTGATTAAATTGTTTTGTCTTTGACTTCCAGAAATGCCCTTGTAATATGTGCACGAGAATAATTCATAGGTGTAGCCGTGTAGGTGTAACAGCAATAACAAACCTAGTAAAATCCCACTAAAAATAGGTTATGTGCACACAAACCATACCCCTACTTGAACTTAGAGAGGTTGTTTCCAAGAGACCACCAACTCAAGCAAAGCCAATGTAAAGTTTTAAACCAACAAAGAAGGCACATATCACATAGTATTACCAAGTAGCAAAGAGCAGACTAAGAGCAAAACAAGTGCACCGAGACACCAAACACACATACCAACACTAGCATGTAGACCACCAAGCACACAAAGACGAGCAAAAAGCACCCACACAGAACTACTACCGAACTACCTTAGTCCTAGATCTCTAAACGTTCCTATCTATGGTTATATTCTTGATAAGGTTCAGAAGTCGTAAGTCATGTCTAATCACTCCTGACTTTTCGTAGGTCTACCCCTTCCCCCCACCTTGTCCACTACAGTAAGCCTCTCGCATCTCCGCACCGGGGCCTATGCACTTCTCCGCTTCACGTGCCCAAACCACCTCAACCTAGTTTCCTGCAAGTTATCCTCCACAAGTATAGGTGTGAAGATATTAAATGAGGGTAGTTAAGTTAAGTAACAATCTTGCTTTTACCAAATAAAGAAAGAGGACTCTATTAAGGAACGTGCAAAAAATGAATATAAGAATTTTACTCAGGGATGCAAGAACTTTATGGTCTCTACCACTCTAATTATTGGTATGACCAAGTCCCAACTTAACTAGTGTTTTAGTAACTTGACTGGTTCACTCACTAATGTGTCTTGTAATATCTTACATGGTTACATAAGAGAACACTTGATACATGATGTAAATGAAGGGAACCATAGATTAACCAATGCTAATAAACCTCTTAACATCATTGTGGCTTTAGTTCAACTCCATTTATCATAGTTTTACATATTTTTTTCCAACTGCTTGTGTTTCCTTTGATTCCTTTTTTAATCAAGTTCAAAATTCTTATCCTTAAACATTTATAGTGGGATTGAGATCTGGTATATAGAAAATTGCCGCCCAGTGCCTATTTCTGAGGCATCTTATGGAAAGTTTTATACAAGAAATTCTTATATCATTTTAAAGGTATGAGATTGATTTCTTATGTTTAGAGACTTTATTATGTTCTGAACTGTATGAGAGTACCTTATCATGTTTTTCTATGTGATTAAATGACAATCAAACTCATGTTTAGTGTTGCATATCCTTCCACACCTTCCCTTGTTTCTGTGTGCTTTTGTCCTGAGGCTCTGCTTTTATTCATCTCAAAAATGAATTTAATGGCCTGACTTCGCAGAGTTTAAGAAAAGTGTGGTTGAAATTTGTTTAGAAGAGAGGAATGTTGTGAGCCACATGTTCACTTCCCCAATAGGAAAGATAGGAAGTATAAACTTTACTATGGGACATGTGAAAAAGGAAAGAGTGAACTTTATTATGGGATGAAGGGAGTAATGTTATATATACGTGACTAGCATCAATATAGTTTGGAAGTTCTTCGGATCCATTCTAATCATTCAGTCAGTAATTACACAACATTATGAATTTGTTAGGATCACCAAACATTATGAATTTTTGATAACTTCAACCCCAATATGGAGATGAACATTTCATTTAATTGGGGCAAAGCAGATCGAGAGATTAATAATCTTAATACCCTAAACTTATGGCTAGATGCACCCTTGAAATTTTTAAATTTGTTAGAACTTGAGCAATTTAAGATTTGTAAGCTCTTATGTTTTCAGTGGAGTGACCCTATTCATGTTAGTAAGAACCTAATTTTCCTCCAATGCAGACCACCTCCTTGAAAAGTGGAACCTTACGACATGATATTCATTATTGGCTTGGTAAGGATACTGGTGTGGTAAGTTTTCTTCCCATGATGTTTAGCCATTCTAGCTTTGTGTTATAATAACAATGCCTCTCGATAAAACAATATTTTATTCTTCTCTTAGGATGAAGCTGGTGCAGCAGCCATTAAGACAGTTGAACTAGACGCAGTTCTTGGAGGACATGCTGTTCAATATCATGAAGTGCAAAGCCATGAAACTGAGAAGTTCCTTTCTTATTTTAAACCATGTATAATCCCACAGGAAGGAGTAGTTGCATCTGGCTCCAAGCCGCCTCACGTGGAAGAGCACAAGACACGTTTGTATGTATGCAAAGGGAAACACGTTGTACACATAAAAGAGGCAAGCTCCTGCCTTTAAGATAATTACTTCCTCCATCCTGGTGTACTTGTGCACTTTTTTTTAACTTAAGGACCAAGGAAAAGGAAAAAAGGGAAGGAAATGTCCATTGTGTCCCTATTTTTACTTTTTGGGCTGGGACAAAGACATTGGGACAACCCAAAAAGGAATACTTTACAAATACATTGGGACGGAGGGAGCATAATATTTTTGTTGTCATTTGTTCATGTAATTACCTGTTTTCTAAGTGATTGGACAGGTTCCTTTTGCCCGTTCCTCACTCAATCATGATGACATCCTCATCCTTGATACCAAATCTAAAATTTTCCAATTCAATGGTGCCAACTCATCTATTCAAGAGAGGGCTTATGCACTTGAAGTTGTACGGTACATAAAGGATACTTATCACAATGGAAAGTGTGAGGTGGCTGCAATTGGTAAGCCAAAAATGCTTTGTATATGGAACATACTACATTAGTAACGGCCTGATTTAAATATTTTCAATGTATTAATGGTATAGATGATGGAAAGCTCATGGCTGATGCTGATACCGGGGAGTTCTGGGGCCTGTTTGGTGGATTTGCTCCACTCCCAAGGAAAACAACTAAGAATGACACTGGAAATGCTGATTCTCTCATTAGAAGATTGTATCGGTAATGCATTTTGTCCATTTGGAATTCCACATTTCCACGTTTTATTTTATTTGGAGTTAAGATTTTCAGGACCATGGAATTCTTCATTTTATTGTTTTTCTTTTTTTTACTTTTTTTCATCATGAGACTATGAGAGGCAAATGCTATAGTATAAGAGAGAGAAGAGTGGATATAGTACTCCATAATAGGGTAAATTTTGAGGGATGTGAAAAAGCCACTCTTAGCTGTAAATATAGTCATCAAAAAGAAGAAACTAGCACACACTAGCAGATCTACCACACATGGACAATACTAGTCCATAGCCATATTCCTATAGGCAGAAAAACTCTTTGACTATCTAGCTTCGATGTTGTCTACTGTAAGTCCTGGAATTGTATAAGAGTGGATACTCAACAATCTAGTTTAATCCCTTTGTTTGGTCTTAATGAAAATTTTGACCACTAGTTTTCAACATATTATATTTAGCAATTGTGTATTAACTGTTTCAGAATCAACGGAAAGAAGCCAGAACTTGTTGAGGCAAATAATTTGACGAGAGACATACTAGATACTAACAGATGCTACATTCTTGATTGTGGAATTAAAGCTTTTGTGTGGATGGGAAGGAATACGTCTCTAGATGAAAGGAAATCTGCAAGTGTTGCTGCAGATGTAATGATTTTTGTATTTTTATTGTTCAGACAGTCTATCTAATTTGCAACTGTGTGATTTTTCATTCTGACATTATAGGCTTCATCTTCTAGGAGCTGATACGCGGCCTTGATAGATCTCAATGTCACGTAGTTTGCATGAATGAAGGATTTGAGACAGTGACTTTTCGTAAAAAGTTTGACGCCTGGCCCCAGCCAAACAATGTGGCAGTAGTCGAGGATGGTAAAGGAAAAGTTGCTGGTCAGTAATAAATGTCTGTTCATTTTCACATTTTGTGATTTTGTGCTCTTTTCCTAGAACACATTCGCCTATTTCACATTTTCCAGAATTCATATTGATTTGCCAGTTCTTATGCTTTTCTCCTTTCATGATGTTTCTCCAGCACTTCTAAAACGGCAAGGGGTTAATATGAAGGGTTTCGTGAAAGATAGTCCACGAAAAGAAGAACCTCAGCCACATATCGATTGCACTGGAGATTTGCAGGTGCACTTTTTTAAATTGCTTTTCACGTTTTCTTAAAATAAATAACCTATTGAATGAAGATCTATGATTGGATTTTACTTTTAGAAATGATAGTTGTTGGTGTAATGACATTTATATATGAGGTGGTCATTGTGGTAGAAGTATACAAAGAGGAATTTAATCTGAAGATGATAAATCAATGCCTGTCGTGCAGGTTTGGCGTGCAAATGGTGATAAGAAGACTCTTCTTCCAGCATCTAATCAGTCAAAGTTCTACAGTGGGGACTGTTTCATTTTTCAGTATTCCTACCCAGGTGAAGATAAAGAAGAACATAATATTATTGGCACATGGTTTGGGAAGCACAGTGTTGAGGTAACTGCTTTAGTGCTTCAGTTTGCTTGTTTTAAATTGATATATCTATCATCATTTATTTCTGAAATCTTATCTCTCTTTTATATAATTATATACATACATACACACCCACCTGCGCCACCCCTCACACAACACTTTTGTATTAGACAATTTTTACAACGCTTATATCTTTCACATGGATTATTTTCGTGCAAAACCCAGAGCTGGATTTAGTGTTACTAACATGCTAATCATCTTCCTACAATTTCACAACCCAAAGTAGGTTTGTACTTCATTTAATAGAACAAAAGAACATAGTATCTAGCTCTAAAATTATGTTTTAGAACAAAACAGTATTGGATTGTTGTGAAAGTTTAGGAGGATGATCTTCATGTTATTGACTTTCAATCCTAAACCAGAAATATATAAGAATATTAAGAGTTGTATAAAAAGTGTTGTGACAATAACCCTCTCTCTCTCTTTATACACACACACATTCCCGTTTAGGGACAGAGGGAGTATTATATACACATACATATGTACATACAGAGAGAGAGAGAGAGATAGAGAGAGAGAGAGAGAGAAATCTCCATGACCCCTTTTTCCCGGCGTGTTTGGTCAAGAAGGATTGGCATGTACCCTTGGATTGTTTTGGAATCTTGATTACTCTTTAGTCTTCAAAAAGCAATCAAAGGGACATAAATTGTTCTCTCTCTCTCTCTCACTCCATCCCCCAATTTAGTTCCTACTTCCCAAAAGGAAGTAACCTTTTCGAAATGTTAGTTATCCCCTTTCCATCTAATCAATGTCATCCTGCACCTAGTCGAGTCTTTATCTACCTAAAAAAAGCAAATATACTTTAAGGAGCACCTAAGCAAATCAACACCAAAAATTACTCAACATAAATATGTCCGCCAATCAATTCCAGAACTTAAATGGGGGACATAGGTTGTATATAGTGTGAGAAATTAATTCCCCACACAATTCATGTCATTGATGCCAACATTTTTGGGAGACACTAGGAGCACTTATTTTCTCATGTCATCAATTTGTTTTTTATGCATTACAGCTAGTAAAATGTCTAGTGCATTCTATCACATCATGTATTGGAATCTCGTTAGTCTTCCAAAAACCATTTCAAGGAATTCTTTGCTGTTTAACTGGGCTGCTTTTTCTTGTTACTGGCCACATCTTCTTTATGTTTTATAATGACACCATTATCATGAGCTATTCTTTTTTTGTTAAAGAAGTGGTGATGTCTAAAAAATATCTGACAATCTATACAACCAACTTATGGAATATATAGGAAGATCAGCTCTCAGCAACTTCAAATGCAAGCAAAATGGTCGAGTCCATGAAGTTCTGTGTCACTCAGGTATGTTAAATTCCTGGGGGATTGAGGGAGATCTATTGATTAGGATTTTCATGCTTGATTTGATGCTGATATGGGAACTTTTCAGGCCCGTATACACGAGGGATTTGAACCAATCCAGTTCCTTTCTATATTCCAGACCCTTATTGTTTTCAAGGTTTGAAAGGCTTTCTATATTCCAGACCCTTATTTTAGTACTTTTGAGTTTTGATCCAATAGTTTTGTTCTCAAGTCAATAGTCATTTCTGGAAAGGTCACTAACTTTGTGCATGTTCCCCCAGGGTGGTCATAGCGAAGGATACAAGAAATTTCTTGCTGAAAAAGAACTTCCCGATGATACATACAGGGAAGATGGCATTGCATTATTTCGAGTACAGGGTACTGGGCCAGATAATATGCAAGCCATCCAAGTTGTTCCAGTATGAATCATCCCATTTCACCTTATACCATTTATTAATATCAAATGGGAGGTGGCTCTCAGACATTGTAGTTTTGCTACCTGACCCAATAGAAAACTTCTGGAGTTGTGAAAGTACAACTATAAGCTGAAAGCACAATCTATGCTTTTTACTACATCAAGCTATAGAATGATCAGATGGAAGACACAATGTTTCCTTTTAAGAACTTTGGTCCTTCACATTGCATAGACCATTCAGTTGTTTGAAGTCACTTTTCACTTTATTTTAAATCCCCCTAATACTTTAAACCATACCCTTTCTCTTCTTGCACTAATAAGTAGTAACTTTATAGACTTTTGGTACTCCATATGTAAGTCAATGCAATAGTAACTGAGCATTGTCAATGCTACAACAGATAATTCTTTATTACTTGTGCATATAACTTACTTCTACTTATACATACACCAGTATGAATGACCCTGACTTAAAGCTCAACGGCTCAACCCCTAATGAGTAAGGGCTGAATTCAACCCCTTTTGAGTTCAATCAAAGATATAATCAACCACATTTCTATTGAACTCTATTGTAATGAGCATTGTTATTTGATCTCTGTTCAATGCAAGTGATGTAGAAACAAATTCCAAATACACTTTTTTGTGTATCAAATAAAAATGGTAAGCTACCTTCATTATTGCACTACAGGTTTAGTGGTACACATAAAAAAGCAAAATCGCTTCATTAAAATGTGCATTTGTACTAGTTCACAAGTTGTTTGGGTCATAAGACAATATTCAGATTGTGCACTTGCAACCACATTTTGATAATTATTTGCTGCTTGAGATAATCTCTGTCATAGAGCATAACTTGTAATTAAATCAGGTGGCGTCATCCTTGAACTCTTCCTACTGTTACATACTGCATAGTGGCTCCACCCTATTCACATGGTATGGAAATCTTACTACCTCTGATGATCAGGATCTTGCTGAGAGGCAACTAGATCTTATTAAGGTATTTTTGGATGCTATATTTTCTTCTAATTCATCAATCGTGATAAAACTATTGGTTGTGATTCTTATTTAGTGTTTTCTTGATTATTTTTTTGCATGATTTGTGGAATACTCATTATACAGTGATTCACTCTTTGCCATTTTGATCAGCCTTGTGCATAGTAGGTATACGGAGTGTGTTGTCCAATCTCACCTAAATTTTAAACAATGCTGAACCTGAAGATGGCCACATGCTTAATCAAACTGTATAAAAATAGATGGGTAGACATAAATGAATCAATTTTAAAATGAGGTGAAACTACCGTGCACATGGTTCAATACCATAGTTTAAACTGTCTATCTTTCTATAACTGATTGGGTCCCCCTTTACAGCCTGAAGTTCAGTCCAGACTGCAGAAGGAAGGTGCAGAATCTGAACAGTTCTGGGATATTTTGGGTGGTAAATCTGAATACTCTAACCTGAAGGTTGAAAGATATTATGAAAGTGACCCTCATCTGTTCTCATGCATCTTTTCAAATGGTAAGAGCATGGTCCTACTCTATGGGAGCCTGGGAACAAACCAAATATATTTAAATCAAAATTTCTGCAGTGCATTACTTGCTATGACTCCACTAACTTCTTTTTTTTGTGTCTTTTTGTGGGTACCTAATGCTCTTCAGGAGATTTGAAGGTGCCTTATTTTTCTTATTCTTATTGTTCCAGAGCTTTCATACGAATCCAAGTTTTCAATTTTACTTCTATATTCAATTAATTATTTATTTTCCCCAACTTGCACACCTGTGGAGTGTAGAATAACTTCATATCATATTACAAGACAACCTAAAATAGGTTATGTTTTATCATTTACTACCAGGTGATCTATCACGTAGATGTTGACTAAAACACTTACACTTCAAAATAATTAATCATGATAATGAATGACTATTATTTCTTTGTAATGCAGGTGATTGAAATTTACAATTTTAATCAGGATGACCTTTTGACCGAAGACATATTCATTATAGACTGTCTTTCGGATATTTATGTCTGGGTTGGACAGCTTGTAGAAAGCAATACTAAAATGCAGGCTTTGGCTATTGGTGAGGTATAAATGTGGATTTCTTTTTTACCTAATTTTTTTGTTTGGACTAAAGCTTCTTTGAAAGAACTTGTGATATATCTTTGTGTGGCTTAGGTTCTGAATCTCAGTTTGAGCTTTAGAGCCTGACTTCTCAGTGGCATCAAATCCTGATCTAATGCTATGCTCTAAAAACCCTCGCATAGTCCCTTCCTAGGCACTAGGCTTTCTTTGGCCGTCTATTTATTTTTCGTAGTTGACCCTTTCAAATCCCCCGTCTATGTGACTTGACAAATCTGTAAGTTCACCACCCTAACTCCCTAACAATGTGCTAGTGCAAGACACATGCAGAATCCCATTTGGACATAGTGCTTAGTTTGAAATTTCTTTCAGGAAAGTTGAATTACTTATTTGTGGGAACCTAATGGGAATTTGTAAAGTTAAAATACTTAAGGCTGCTTTATTCTAATTTGGGCATTCTCTTGTATATATTTCCTTGCAGAAATTTATCCAAAATGATTTTCTCCTGGAGAAATTGTCTGAGCATGCTCCAATATACATTGTTTTTGAAGGGAGTGAACCTACTTTTTTCACTCGTTTTTTCAACTGGGACTCTTTGAAGGCAGCTGTAAGTGATCCTTTTGTTATGTTTTACCTGAAGTCTGCCGATTTTCTAAGAGCCTAAGAGGTATCTCTTACTATAGATGCATGGAAACTCATTCCAAAGGAAACTTGCGATAGTGAAGAATGGTGGTACTCCAGTTGTGGATGTGAGTTTTGTTTGGCCTTCTCTTTTATGAACAATTTTTTTATATGAAGACTAAAGTAGGAAATGCAAGGGTTATTATTAAGATAAAACTCCCTCCGTCTGGAATTAAGGCACCACATTTGATTGGGCATGGTTCTTAAGAAAGGTGAAATTGAGTGGTTGAGAATTATGCAGAGGAGAGAGAAATGATACAAACCATATAATCATTTTTAAAAAGGAAAATGGATCATTTTTTTGGGATAAACAAAACAGGAAATATGGAATCTTTTTACGGGATGGAGGGAGTAGAAAAAGTGATACCGGTTGATTCAATCAAGACACAAGAACCCTACACATATGCATGAATAACGGTTAAGGCCTTATTCTATAATTAAGTGGTTAGGGTTTGCATCCTAAGCTGCGCTAGTATTCCGCTTTCTTCTCAAGATGGAGCATATGAAATCCCAGGATTATTACAAATGCAGTCTATTCTAGAACCGCATAGACACTTTGTGCACAAATCAACTAATTATTCAGTACAATTGACAAATCATCATTTAACAATACATGTGGACATGATAGGAATGATAGAACTCAAGACTGGCAGGGAGAATTAATGAAGGAAAGTCTTTATCAAATTATGAAATCAGAATCTAAATTCATAAAATAATAAAGATGAAGGGAAATCTTTATCAGAATATGAGCAAGAATCTTAAACTCATATACATAATAAAGCCAAGGAGAATCTCCAATAATAAATATTGAATTGCTTTCTGCATAACAATTACAAATAAAGAGCCTCAATATTCATAGAAGCAAAATAACTACCAATCCCTAGAATTTAGGCCCACTACCACATTACCTAGTAACTATTCCTAGACTTTAGGCTCACTACCACATTACTTAGCAACTACTCCTAGAATTTAGGCCCACTTACACATTATTTACCACTTAGTAACTAACATATATAAAATAAAACATCTGACCTGGCCTTATTATAAATATTAATAACATAAAATAACAGCTTACGTGGCACTCTATCATAGTCTCTAATAAAATAGTTGTGAACTTCAATATGTCTGTTCCTCGCATGAAACACAAGATTTTAATGTGATATCATTTTGTAATTCCCTAGAGTAAATGTTTGAACTATATCACTTTATAAGAAGGTGTATTTATTATTAGAAACCAAAAAGGAGAACGTCTTACAGTGGAAGGTCGATTGCATCTGAAAAATCTCAACGCTCTAGAAGCTTGTCTTCCAGCCCTGACCGAGTTCGTGCCAGGGGCAGGTCTCCTGCCTTCAATGCCTTAGCTGCTAACTTTGAGAACCCTAGTACAAGGAACCTCTCAACGCCTCCACCAATGGTACGGAAGATTTTTCCAAAGTCTGGAACTCCCGACTCAACAAAACTGCCTTCTAGATCTGCAGCCATCGCAGCGTTGACAGCAACCTTTGACAAGACCCCATCGCCAGCTCGCTCCTCCATTCCATCCTTTACTAAGGGTATCATTTCTTGCTAAACAAATTCATCATTTTAAGAAAGGAAAAGAAGTGAAATGTTACTTCCTTGCAGGTCGGGCAAGCCCGGAGGAAACCCCAAAGCCTGAAACAATAAAAGAAGATGTGAAAGAGGGTGACGCTGAAGATGATGATGGGCTTCCGACATACCCTTATGACCGACTAAAGACCTCCTCAACTAATCCAATCACAGATGAAATTGACATAACCAAGAGGGAGGTATGCTATTAATTGATACGGAATAATACATCAGGAGAACTTCAAAAGGTGTTTGATGTTTTCAGGTTTTCAATCAGAACTGATATTTGAACAAAACAATTTGCTTGCAGGCTTATCTGTCTTCTCAAGAGTTCAGGGAGAAATTTGGGATGACTAAGGATGCCTTTTATAAGCTACCGAAGTGGAAACAGAACAAACTAAAAATGACTACTCAATTGTTCTGAGAGCCTTCTGCTGACGCCATTTTTGTAGCTCGGAGGGAAAGGATTCTTTCTTATATGGTGGGAAAGATTTAGAAGATCCACTATGGCATGTTTGGATTTGTTTGCAAATTTTAAATTGAGGTAAATTCATTTGTTCGAAAGTGTAAAGAGTTCACATTTTGGAACCGGACCAAATTCTCAACAATTTAAAGTAAAAAATCTCATTTGTTGATTTCATTTAGGCTTGTTTAGACGATTGATTATAGTCAAGGTTTGTAACTAAATGCATTGCTTACCATCGTGATTTGTAGTTTTGATATTTGTAATATGTTTGGAGAGTTACGGTGTGTTGTTTGGACTGTTACAGTGTGTTGTTTGTAGTAGTGTCATGATCATGATTTGTGCAATTTAAAGTACTATGTATGTGGTTTGGATGTTGATGATTTGCAATCAACAATTAAAGAAGCTACTTGGAGTTCTGGACAACCTCTATTAATCTTATGTTCTACATACAATTGGGGGCCGGTTGTGACATTGGGTCTCTGTATCATAGGATGACTCGGGACACCTACTGGTTTGAAAAATTATTGGTTCTTACCTCCTGAACCTCTACTCTCTTCGCTTGATTGGCTACAGTGATACACTGTAGCCAAAACTGTAGCCAATCAGCGAAGGGAGAGAATGTTAGGGGATTTAGGGGGGAGTGAGGAGGAGCTATCAATTCTCAAACAGAGCATAGATGTCTTGGGATCATCTTATGACATCAACACTAATGTCACATGAACTGGAGTGATATAATTGTGTTGTTGAATGTAACAAAATGTGTTGGACTATGGGTGATGGGGAAGAAGGGATGGGTGGGAAATAGGTGTGGAGGGACCGTGGATTGTTGTTGATTAGGGAGAAGAGAGGAGACATGGTTGTTGTGGTAATATTCACTTGAAATTATATGACTCAAGCTATTTATTTTTAAGATTTTGAAAAAAAACATAAAATCATGACTTGTGGAGGATTGGGTTTCACATCAAGGCCTAAGTACATTGAGTCATGCCCACACGAATGGAATAAGATCTTCTAGAGTTTGATGGGAGTGATGGTGGGGGCTTTGAGGACATCGTTGTGACGTGGTCTAGGCTCCGGTCCTCCCTTAGCGAATGACCTTCATCATATGAGGTTGGTACTCTAGTCGTCTAAATGACTAGGCCTGGGGCTAACCAATGCATGCATTCCCCTTATGAAGGGTGCACATAGAGACACTTTAGTCACCTATGGAATTGGACATGCACTAAACCACAAGAAAGAAAGATTAATGTTTAGCATTTGTCAATGAAATCGACAAAGAGATGTCATTCATGGGTGTCACTCGTTATAGTAAACTTCTTTTTTCACTATCATCCCCCCTCCTTTCCCTCATTGCGAGGGATGTTGAATCTTGAAATCTGAAGCAAAATCTGAAGTCAAGTTAAAAGAGTATGTAGTGCTGTGTTATATTGCTCTCTCGTTCTTACTATCATTGTCCCTCTTTATCAACCTCTATTAGTTCATTCTTAGTCGTCTACTGACTGACAATCGAATTGATGCTTTCATTAACTTGAAAGTATACTCAAGGTTAACGAAAACACTCTCACGGGGGAAACTAGCTACAGTGGTGGGGAATGATGGACAATATCAACCCCCACTCTATGGCATGCACTCTACGGAAAATGCAACACTGAGATGCTCATATCGCCCATCAAGGTACTCAATCACACACTCAACGACAAGGAAGAAAAAGTGATGCTCAACATAACAACATTTGTCAGAGAAATTGAAATAAGAAATATAACACACACAACACTATAAAAGGATGTCAATCACGGGTCTTGCCCGTTACTATAGTAGATTCTTGTTTTCACTATAAATAATCATTAACCAACTCATTATAAGGGAGGGAATTAGGGGGTGTGTTACAAAGAAGATTCTTGTTTTCACTATAAATACTCCCTAAGCCCCTAATTGTAAGGGAGGACATAAGGGGGGTCTATCTTTACAGACCTCAACTAGGTCATACTTTGTACTTTATTGAACATCAAATTGGTAATTTAAATAAGAGATTAAGAGTACACTCAAGGTTGCCTTTTGTTTGACACAAGCGAGAACCATAACGATAGCACTCCCATGGTGGAGACTAACCAAATTGGTGGGTAACGTCAACCCACCTCAAGCAAGCAAATCGATTGAGGACCTCATAACATGATAATTAGGTTAGGGGTGGCACTCGATCAATTTTTAACAGTCAATGTTACCCTTGTCGCTCTTGCAAGAGGAGCACATGGAAACGCTCTTGCGCCTAACCAACCACAAAATCGTAACAAACTATCATTGTGGTTGACGAGGTCCTACCCAAAGGGGAAACAAGCATAAAGCCTCTAAGGCCCCCATAGATGACAACCAAATAGAGGTGGACACGATAAACTTGGAGGGAGAATCAAGCTATAGTTGAGTCAATTAGCAATTAGCAATCCATGACTTAATTTTCCAAGGGATAAGATAAGTTAATGCAGCTACCAAAGGCCAAAAGGCTAAGAGGTCTGATATTCTTTGACCTTTCCAACTTATAAATAGTCCTCACCTCATTAGCATCCATATTACTTCTTCACGCTTGGCATGCACTCTTGCTACTACCATCATTTATTATTGACATAGCTACTGCTATCATGAGCAAACTCTGAAGTTTATTGGGAAGATCATCACAAAACTTCTTCATCTTCTTAACGTAAAACCCCTTCTTAGACTAAAAGGTGAGTATCATTGCCTCTTTAACGTTGTAATCGTTGTATAATAGGATATATGTATGAAATGTGTTTATGTGAATGTTTATACCGTGTATGTTTATCTAGCAAGACAATGGGTTTTCTAGCCACATGTGAATAAACCGTAAATCTTACATTATAAAGGTTGAAAAATGATCAACAAACATTTTCATATATATATATATATATATAATGTATGTATGTATGTATATATGTATGTATGTATGTATGTATATATAGGCATGCATATCAGCATGTCAACATGCCTTTTTTCTATATGAAGAAAAAGTAAATTCATTTAAATACTAGAGTTTGACATCAAAAATTGACTCCAAATATTTCACAAATCTGCATAGAAAATGATTTTATGCGAAACTCATATAATGGTTGTACGTAAATCTCTATGAAATGCATTGAATAAGAATTAGTGTCAAACACTAAAGCTGGGTTCATAAAGAAAAGCGTTTTCAAAAGTTATCAAATTGTGCTTTCATAAAATATTAAGAATATCTCTGTTATCCAATAACAAGGGCGAAGATCTTACTTTCGTTTTTCGATTATTCATATATCTTATTGATTTTTTTGTGCACTGGTTTTAATTTCAAAATATTAATCACACTATTAAAAACAATAAGAGCATGTTTGTTTGATAAACACTTCTTTACACATTGATTAGGTACAAACACATTTTAATAAATGACTAATAAATACACAGTTAGAATATTTAACTTATGAGTTATTCAAACCATTGTTGTGAAGTAAAAAAAATCAACTTCATGAGGTCTCAGTTATGTGGTTTGACTTGTTCACCCTGAAGGAAGCACCCACAAAAAAAAAAAGAAAAAAAAAAGATCATATGTTAGCATCTTCTACACAGACCCTTTTAGTTTTTCAAAAAAGGGGGGAAATGAAAACCCTAGAATTATATTCCTTCAAGTAAGCAAACAAAATCATAGATGATAAAACATACCCCTCGCGTCTCTTTCCCCATCGGAAAATAATGCGTACGATTTCACTCAATGGTGTCTCTGGAACTGGTATAAGCTTCCCTATCACGGCGAGAGGCCAGCTGTTTTTTTTTTCAAAACATACCAACAAACATGAAATTGGTTACCAACACCTCAAAATAAAGCATGTGATCAGAACTGAACAATGTACTCCATAATACACAACAACCTAAGGATTATACTACCATGTGAAAAAGACTGAAGTAAAAATAAAACATAGTAAATATACTAAAATAGAAGTTCTATGTTTTTATTCCCAAAATAGGAATTAAAATGCATATACAGTGCAAATAATGGAAATAAATAGTTCAGAGATGGATCTTTTTCACACAGATTTCTGAAAAAGGTGAAAGGTTATGTAACCAACTAAGCAGCAAAAAAATGTAAATCACAAAACACACTCTTACTCCAAAACCTAAATCACACTTATTCGGGGGTGTGATGAAGTTCGAGTTCGAGTTGAGTCCCAAAGTTGGGCCCAAAAACAAAATTTGGGAACATTCTTGAAGGCCCAAAACATCTATTCGAATNGTAAACCACACAATTCTAGTATATGTTGGAATACATTTTGAGCAAACAACGATAAAATGATAGAGCATATTCTTCTAAATTCATAATTGCATGCACATCATTACGTAGTCTAATTAATATACGGAGTATATAACAAAAAAATACAAATATGGCAAACCATTGAATTAAATAGTTTTTGCGTACTGCCTACCCCCTCTGCATCCCATAAAAGGTTCTGAAATCAATCAGACATGGTTACTAAGAAATTGAGATTGTGTCTTTGAGATTTATTCAAGGAAAAATAAAAATAATACGGAGTATCAAACACAATTTTTTCCTTTCAAGGAAAGAGGAATTTTACTTTGTAATGACCAAGGAGAGTATGAGCTCTTTTTTGCTGATTTTCTTGTGTTTCATTAATTTCTGGGTTTGGAGTAAACCCAACATTAACTTTCCTAATCATGGTTTTTATATTTTGTTTTTAAAGAAATATAATCTCGTATTCTCGGGCTGGGTTAAACCTGATTTACTTGAATCTGACTCTGCCTTTTTTAGATGTTAGGCCTAGTATGACACCTAGCACATTTTTACATCATTGCACTGAACCTAAACAAAAGTACAAAACACTCACAAAGTCACAAGAAACCAACCTGATAAAGCCAATAGCAACAGACACAAACCATAGTTTCCAATTAAGTCTAACAGTTGAAGTGAACTTCCCAAGAAATGTGATCATAAGAACCTGAGAAAGATAGGAGGTATAGTAGAATATTTGTACTAATTAATCAGTGGGAGGGATGTCTAAAAATTTCAAAAAGGTCAAACCAAATAGGAAAATCACCTGAAACACCACAGTAAGAGTGACTATAGTCACAAATAAACGGTTTGTAAGGACTCCTTTGAAAATATTAATTTCCTCCGGTTTTCGGGCATTAAATTCATTGAACACCTGCAAAAGGATCATGGGAAATAAGCGGGTGCGACCATGCAATATGAACTCTTTATCCCAATTCAATGTGGCCAGTTGATCATGCAATGATGAATCCAATTCAGAAATAGGTTCTTGGAAATGCTGATCAACACAGGCATGCATAAGGCAC